TTTTTTTTTTTTTTTCTCTAGGACTTCTTCTAATATCAAAGTGTACGGTTTTGCTATGAAGCCAACATTGGCTCTATAGTGGAGCCAACCTTATATATACAATAAATAAACATATCATATTCTCTGATTACTTAAATAACACTAACATAATTTTATTAATATGGTACGGTTTATTTGCATTACATAGAATGTTGGCTACATTATGAAGCCAACTGTTGACATCATAGCAAAACCGCCAAATTGTATACCTACTTTTTGCTTTTTGTGCAAGAAGATCAAATTTAATCAATTTTGATCCCAAACTAACTATTTGTTGTTTATTATACGTTAATATAATTACATTTCATCATATCATTTTGAAACTCTCAACTATAATACATCCAACTTCATCATATAATGCCCCCAATTTTGTCAGAAATTTCTTCAGATAAAAAAAAAATAAATAAATAAAAATAAAAATAAAAAAAAATATGGCCAAAATATACTAAAAGTGAATATTTTTTAAACTCAAAATTAATTAAGTTGGAACCTCGTCGAGGCAAAGCCAAAATTATGTTGAATTCGAGTACAAAATTAATTGCTTTCACGATAAAGTTATTCTCACTAAATATTTCAACATAAAATTAGGGGAATATATTCATTCTAAAATCATACAACATTTAGAGATTTTAAACCTCACGTTGTATTCATTTAGACATTTTTAAAACTTACAAAAGTAATTTTTGCAAAATAAACATGTCATGTGTACTTGACTCGAAATTTTTAAAATTTAAAAAAAATTGAGATATTTATTTGAGATTTCAACAAGTCTTAAAAAATCTTAAGACTTGGTGAGATTTCACAGACAAAATACATATTCGGAATCCGGCGCTCAATTTTTCTCTACTATAAAAACCTTTTTATAAACCCGTTTATTTAATCTATTCATTTTAGATTTTAAAAAGTGTTAATAAATACATTATTAATTTATTAATCACTTGCATTTAACTAAACTTAATATTTGATTAAATCTCACCACTCATATCACCTCCAAATATATATATATTTTTTTTAGCATTTCAGTTATAAAATTAAAAAAAAAAAACTATTAAAAAGTTTTAATATTTTTTATTAAATTTTAAAAAATGGCACTCAAATTATCAGCACAGACTACAGTCAATATTAGCACAAGCGGATAGATATTTCAGGTCATAATTAATTTCTCTCTCTCTCTCTCCGCCGAACCGCGTCTTTTTCTCAGCCCTAAATTCTCTCCTAAGATTCCGTCGACTTTCTCCGATCAACTCTCGCCGCCATGGTAAACGACTTCTCTTTGTGCTCTTTGTTCAACATCCTTCCTTATAAGTCTTTCATATCTCTTGTTTCTCTCTTATTTTGTTCCGTATTTTGATGGCTTTTGTGGAGTACTGTGTCAGATTTGCGATTCTTTTGTGGCCCGAAAAATGGAAGTTCAGAGAGAATGAAGCTTTTTGGTCAGCTGTGTGTTTGATTTGGGTTTCTTCTTGTTTGTTTGGATTCTTTTGTGTTTGCTTCGCTTTTCTCAATTTTTTTTGATCGGATGCATTTTTCATTTGATTTACTTGATAAATTCTAAGTTCCTGAATGATTTTGTTCATCGATCTTGGATTTGGCAAGAGTAATGTTCTCTGTAAATCAGTTTGGGCTCTGCTTTGGGGGAAGAACAATTTTTACTATAGCTGACTAGCTAATAGATGTTCAATAATTTTATGGGATTCAGATGTAGTTGACTAGCTAGCTAATAGATGTTCGATAATCTTATGCGATTCATATGTAGTTGATTATTTGGTGAACTCTTGTGTCGGGTTTCTGCTAAAATTGAGGATCATTTGTTTCGACTATTATGATGAAATTAGTTGATCTTCTTGTCCAATCCAAAAAAAAAGACGATTTTTATTTCATCTTTATTCGGTTTTTAATTTCCAATGTGATCTACTTGGACCGTTTCGTGCATTCATGCAACTTTATCCAGGTTATGGAGCCTTCCATTGCTAAATTAAGTGTGTTTGTTCTGTTTTGTTTCTCTTGTACTTTTCAGTATGACCAGCTTATAATTTTATCCTCAATTTGTGCAATCCTAGCATCTATCTGTTTTCCCGAACCTTACATTGTTTTCAATTAATTATTCACATTTACTTCGGCTTGAGCCTCAAAGACCCTGCTTGGGGCTCCCTCGAATCATGGTTTTTATCACTGAGTAGATAATATTCCACCATCACCAACTATCTAAGAGTACCATTGCACTGTAATGTTGAAGATCATAATTCGTTAATAATTTAATATAAAGATTCGCTACTGCATAGCAACCTGATGCACTCTCGGAAAAAAATCAGACAAAATTGATTTTAATGATTTTAGTAACAAGAAATGGTGATAGTTATATTGTGTTAGGTTCATATTGATTGAAACAGATGCCAATGGGCCAATTATTGGAAGCATTGCAGCAGTTTTCAAATTGGATGATATATAATATCTGCAGTCGCTTCTAGTGGTGTGGCTTCTGATGCTTTGTGTCAGTTTCATTCTCCGAAAGTTCGAAAGTCTTCCTTGCAAAGTTGAATTTGTGGTTGCACACTTGCACTCTGTACTGTAATATATGTACATTATAGCATTGAGAATATACTATTTTAGTTACCTGGTTTTATCAACATGGGCTAAATTGTATATCATTTGGTACGAACTTGAAAATTTGTGTTATCCACATGACCATGTAATTTAAAAAAATAAAATAAAATAAAATAACTATACCCATTAGAAATATTTGTACACATTCCACCCTAAAAAATACCTCTATTTTTCAGTGATGAGAATGATTGCAGCTGCTTTTTTTCTTATTTGGTGTGTGTTTGTGTGTGTGTGTGTAGGCTAATGCAGCATCGGGTATGGCAGTTGATGACGAATGCAAACTGAAGTTTATGGAGCTGAAAACCAAGCGAACACACCGCTTCATTGTTTTCAAGATTGAAGAAAAACAGAAACAGGTTATTGTGGAAAAGCTTGGAGAACCAACCCAAACTTACGATGACTTCACTGCAAGCCTTCCTGCCGAGGAGTGCAGATACGCAGTTTATGATTTCGACTATTTCACTGAAGAGAATGTCCCGAAGAGCAGGATTTTCTTCATTGCATGGTAAATACCCTTTTTTTTGGTGATTTTATATTTTTTTAGTTTCTTTTTTTCACATTTTATGTTTCACCTTTCTTTGTGCTCGAAGGTCTCCCGACACTGCAAAAGTGAGGAGCAAAATGATCTACGCAAGCTCAAAGGACAGGTTCAAGAGGGAATTAGACGGCATTCAGGTAGAGCTTCAGGCAACCGACCCGACTGAGATGGGTCTTGATGTCTTCAAAAGTCGTGCCAATTAAAATGCTTCAAAGCCTATTGCTTTTACTTACTTTTGAGTGCTATCGTTTGCTATATAGTATCGGTTTGTGATTGAAGTGCTACCTGTAGCCGTATCTTTTATCTCGAACGAGTTCTGTTGCCTTCTATGCTATTATATGATTCTTTTTTCTTTTGTTTTCACTTTTCCTTTTTTCGGTTATTTCTCTGTGTGTGTGTGCTATTTCTGTGAAATGCATGGCTGCTCAACCATAGATTGGATCAATTACTGTGATTCCGATGTATTCACTTATTTCACCCGACTTCTATAATTCTTGTTAAATTTTACTTTTTTTTGTGTGTGTGTCGGCAATATGGGTCTTTCCATGAAGCAGTCATCATTTTTGGGGTGTATGAAATCTAGCTTTGAGTTGCGAACTTAAATTGTTTCATACAGTTCGGATCAATGTATTCACACAGACGTCACTTGGGGCCTCCTCAAATCTTGATTAAGATAGCGTTGAACGTAACTAATTGTCAGCATAGCGCTTTACGTCCAACCTGTACTTTAAGGTTAGTTGTATCCCCAGGTAGGCTTTCCCGTTCGATATCCAATTCTAAACTTGGATTGCTGCCTTTGTGGAATAAGGGCCTAAACCCAATGAATATAAGGTGCGGAGTCCCAAGAACCGAGCCAAAGAAGAAGGTTCCAATCCCAAGTAAACCTGTGTACCAATCGTACCCGAAAGACGCAATCTAACTCTTCAAAAACCTGAAAAAAAAAGCTCTTAGAGAAATTTTATTTTGTTTATCGAATGCCGAATTGTTATAAGATAGTATAGGTTGCATTTCTGTTCAAGGGCTTGAATTTGTTGAAAGGATTTAGATGAAGAGTTTTTTATGACTCACTAATCACTTGGACTATTTGCAAAGTGTGCATGGAATGAACGACCTCGTTGGAAAAGAAATGTCTGATCTTGAAAAGTCGATATCAGGGACTATTCTCAAGAATGGTGGGTTAGAGCTATTACTTGAACTGAATTGTCGCAGCTCAATTTGGCTTGTGAAAGTTCAAGGTTGAAATGAACTGAGCTCATTTACTATTTATTGAACGAGCTAAGCCGAGCAACTTCACAAACAACTCGTCATTATTAATTTAAGCTTTGAACGAACAATTGAGCTATGTTCGCAAATGCACAAATTATTTTCACCACAATAATACATTCAGCACAAAAATGTAAAGCAAATCCAAAGTGAATATTTCACCACAATTTCATAATCAGCAGAGAATATATGTTTCATTATGAATGACAAATCTACAAATGTAACACATATTACATTATCGTTCTATCTAATGAAATAAAACACAAAGTGAAGCACAAAAGTGAAATGCCATATCTTATTCTTCTTACCAAAAGATTACACACACTTCACCCAATATCGTTTCACCCTTGAACAAGATATCATCAAAGCTCGACTGCAAACAGATAATAGGCATTGAATGCAATAAATCACACTCGTCGAGCATTGATCACCATATTAGCCAAGCACACTACTTTCCACTTCTCTTCTTCAAGATTTTGCATATCATGTGTGCAAGAAAAAATAATTAGCTACATCCATCAGCAACTTGAAGATTCTTTTAGAATTAATCTAAGCACATTTTACATGTGATCAGAGAAACATTTTACCTCAAGGCTCTGTAGGGTTACTGCACTGTTTTTATTCCTTCTAAGCCCAATATGAAATGAAGCACTTGAGCACAATGCCAGTACAGCTAAACAAACTCCTCCAATTCATATTCCTACAAAGGATTTAACAAGAATACCTATCGTTTTCCAATTCAGATTCAGCTCTTCGGCCCAGCTCCATGGATAATCAATATAAAGTACCAACTCCCCTGGCTCAGCTTCGGTGCTCCAAAATTACATAATCAAGAGTCAGCTTCAATTTCAGAACTTTTCCTGTTTTTTCAATTCCTTCAACAAATCGAGAAAAAAGCAACAGGTTGTCGATCCGCATTCCAATGCTCGTCAGAACAAAAGGGAAAAAAAAAGAGAGAAAATGTTGAATTATACTCTGATGTCTTTGTCTTAACTCCACATGAAAGATACATAACATTAATTGGAAAGGTCGAAAAGTAAAGGAAAACAGAAAAAAGGCAAGCACTTCTGAACCAGAGTTTTCCAGTCACCCCCTAAAGTTATTCTGTTTCGTCTGAAAGAACTAGTGTCGGTTAAAAAGTAAAGATTCTGTTTTACTTTGCACACCAAACACAAGAGCTTGCAAGTAAAATCCAATAAGTTAGAACTCAATTTGTCTGCATCGACTCTGCATGGTACTTGTCCAAATCAGCATCAAGATCCTCGGCAGATATTTTCCCAACATGGCCCCTTCCTCTGCCACGACCACCCCTTCCAAATCCACGACCTCGTCCGCCACCACGTGGTCTTCCGAAACCACCTCTGCACAGAACAACTAAAGACAGTTAGATAAAGAGGCATACTATCAAGTGAATCATTCAAGTCTATTGCTTTATTTCGGATTGTTGACAAAGCTTATGAAACTATAGTCAGATCCTCTGTTGTGTTTGCGTGTCGAACAATTATAGATGTCACAGTACATCCATAAGTGTATTTCGTTTTTCCAAATGCATAAGACAACTACACAACTCAAGCTAGGCTTCATTAAGTAAATGCATTAATTCTACTTCCCCTTTTGGTTTTCAACATCACCATACAGATCCTGGAAGCATCATATACGATAGCTCTTTACGTTCAACCAACAGAAGTCCATAATAAACAAATTGACACAAAGTTCAATCAAATTTGATTTGTTTGGGTCTCAGAAAAGTAAAAAGAGTGTCGGTGCATCTTTCACATCAATCCTAAAGAAAACTGAACTGGAGTAACTGCAGATGCGACATTCAAATGATGGCATGTTTGAATTATGAAGCTATTTTAGCTCTTTTCCAGCCGCTGTTCAACAATTAGCAGAAGTACATATGATCCTTTTTTTTTGTGTGTGTGTGTGCGCGCGTATAACTCACACACACACACACACACATAGAGAGAGAGAGAGAGAGAACAAATACAAGTTTTTACAAACAGGGAAAATGACAAATTGAATCGAAGTTGATGTGTTAAGAATGACCATGAAGCAATAGGGTATGCAGAGCTGAACTTTAAATTTTACCAGTACGATATTGGTCATCTAAAGACATTCTAACGGAACAAAACATGGAAACAATTAACAAATATAATGTCCAAAATTTTCAACTTCGGGATACATGTAACCAATATGGCCGTTTAAATGTTACGTTCTCAAACCAATTACAATTGATACAAAAACAAAATACCATGAACAGTTGCTGCCAAATATGTAAGTGATTGCACATCAACAGTGACCATGTAAATGGATAGGCACATCATTCTACAATATCCCAACCCTTTTTTGGGAATGTTACATCTTCTAAATTGATTTAGTGAATCCAGACATGTAAGTAAATGTAGTGTAGTAACTCTGCACACGAAATGTGTTCCAACGTTTTCGCTTGTACGATCTTTTTAAGTAAATTATCAATTACTAGGCCAAAGGTTTTTTCATTTTGTTCAATAGAGGAAGGCCTCAGCTTATTCATCATTCATGCAAAAGAAAAATAACAGTACGAAAAAACAAAATTAAGGGTGAGCAGAATTAGACGTGTCGTAAATGCTAACAGATGAACTTGTTAAAATTTTGTCCTTCCCAAAGTACAAACCTAGGAGGAACAGCATTTGGATCACGAAAAGCACCGGCGGTTGGAAAAGCGGCACCACCACCAGTTGGAATATTTGTTCCGACAAGCTCTATCTTCATGGGCTTCCCGTCAAGCTGAACATTATTATACTTCTTGATTGCAGCTAATGCATCTTGTCGTCTTGAGAAGACTACTTCAGCAGTGCCCTAGAGAGTGAAAAAAAAAAAAGAAGCATTGTTCTAATCGCAAGCGAGGTATAAGTTCCAACAGAAAGCAAGACTGCTGTTTAACTCGGAAAATACCTTTGACCGGGCAGTTCTATCGTAATGTACATTGCAGCGCTTCAAGTCACCAACCTCTGCATACAGCTCCTGAAGAAGTTTCAAATTGTAACACTCAGGTCTAAGTAAACCTGGGATGCAAAGTAACTGCAAGAAATATCACAGAAATCAAAGGGACAATGTGAAATATAATGAGAAGTCTGCTTTAAGAAATCACCTTAATATCTGCATTAGAGACCCCATAATCTAAGTTCGAAATGTACAACTTTGTCCCGGTCTCAATGCTAGAAGCCGAAGCTCGACTGCTGCTGGTGAACATGTCATGAGCCCAAACCGATTCCGGGGCCTACACCACACCCATAATCCATCATTCCAAAGTGCGAAAAAAACACCATAAAACTCCCTCTTAAAAAAATCAAATCTTTTCTCGTGCAAAAAGAAAGAAATACTCTAATTTCTCCAAAACCCAACATGTAACGGGCGGGGACCTGACCCTCGGTGGTGCGTAGGGTGCTGCTCGATTGGCGGAGCGATTGGGCCGACGGCGAGCTGGGCGGGGACCGCCGACGCCGCCTCCGCGGCCTCTACCTCGAGCGGCGGATATTTTGTTGCTTTTGATGATATCGTCAAGAGACATGTCTAGCGCAGCACCTGGCATCTTGGCTCCTTCGGTAGAATTTTAGGGTTCGTGCACACAATGCGAGAGATTTTGAAATTCAAGGTTTGGTGCAGACACTTTGTTTACTTGCGCTAGGCCAATGGCGACCTTGATTTTTCCATTTTTTGGAAATTAAAAAAAAGAAATGTTTTTTATCCTATAAAATAATATTAAAAAAGTACACTTTTTAAATTGTGAATTAGTATAAAACAAAAATATAATGATTAAGGTTAAAAATGAGAAATAATAAAAATACCAATTGGGTGAAAAATATATAAAAGGATGAATAATATATTTTATTAGAAAATATACAATGAATATTTATTTAGTTTTAAAATTGTTTTAGAGAAATTATAAATGTAAAAATGAGATACAATTAGTAGTATTTTCTACGATCTTTTTATTAATATTCACAACTTGAATAAGATAAAACATTGACTAATCAAATTAACTAAAAGAAACTTAATAAATCGAATCCAATCTAAAAAATCATAAGTTGAAATTTTGAAGTTCTGGTTAATCTAGAATTGAAAGTCCAATCCTTATGTTGATATCTTTTTCAGTAATCTATACTTATATTAAAGGCCATACCATTTACTAAAATTAGTATAAAGAAAAGTCAAAGCAATTAATGTTTTTCTATTTATATCATTTGAATATTATATTTTATATTTATTTATTTCAAATCTAATCATTACTTAATGCTTTTAAATGCAGTTGAAAAGTCAACACAATTTTTGGTCTTTGATTTTTAAATCCGTGCATTTGGGAATCTTCCAAACTATTTTTTTTTAAAAAAAATATAAATCAGATTTCTTTGTTAAAAAAAATCTCTAAAAAATATAAATCTGATTTCTTAATCTATACTTACATAAAAGTTATCCTATTTACTAAAATTAGTAGCAAAAAAATAGGTCAGCATTTAATGCAACCCATAAATAGTAGTTTCATTATTTTTCTTATTTTTTTATTTAAAAATCATACAATTTAATTTATAAATACGCTTTAATATAATCATACAATTCAATCATACAATTTAATTTATAAAAATTATACAATTTATTTTATATATATATATATATATATATATATGGTACTTTTTGTAGTAAGTTTGAATAAAATGTGTTACTTAAATATCTAAACAATTTAAAAATTCAAATGTTTAAATTAATTGATAAACAATTTATAAATATCTATTTTATTAATTTTATTTAAAATAATTTTAAATATAGCAAAATTTATTTAGAAAATCGTATCGATCCTACCAGTTCAACCGACTGGTGCTGACGAATTCAATAACAAATATTTTATTCAAATGAACTAGACTGATTATAAACTGGTTCTCGGTCAATCCGGTCGGACTGTATCCAATACGGTTTAATTTCAAATGATGGGTAAATCTTAATTAATTTTTTTGTATATTTAATTTATAACACAATCGTAATATTGTTTTCCCGTGCATCGCACGGGCCATGCACTAGTTACGTTTAAAAACGCTAAGTAAGCACACATCGGATTTGATAAGGTAATAACTGATGTCACTCTCCAACAATAAAATAAGGAGAATAGTCACTTTCAGATTCCAACCGAGGTCTTTACAAAAGGAAGTCGTCCACAATCGA